GAGTTACGGTGACACTCTGGGTCAGGTTCAGGTCGGACACCAGTTCCGTGACCTTTGCCCGTCCTGGTTTCAGACATATTCCTGGGGTCACTGGACTCTTGATCCTATTTAAAGAGGATAACACAGAAAATTATTTAGCTAAACATTCATGTTTCATTGTATGAATAAATTCCGGGCAACCTCTCAAATCACTAACTTAAAAAAACAAACATGCACAAAGGATTTGCTTAGTCAGCGTGACAAGCCTCTCTGACCGACAATAGCTTCGGGCCGCCATGCCCACTGGAACTCGTTGTCATCTCCGTTGTTTGGCTTTCTGCGGTTCTCCAAACCCGTCGAGCCCCCTCGTCGCTGCCTTTGTCCTCTCGCAGAACCGGCAGCTCTGTACTCCAGCTTCCCGTAACGCTGCAAGCGCCGCGTCCCGTAATTGTCAGCCAAGAGGAAGTGACCTCACGCTAAGCTCCCGGCATAGGACGCTCTTTCTTAAGGTGCCGTTTCCTCTTCTTCATAATCCTCTTTTTTTTTTTTTTTTTTCTTTTCCAAACACAAGCAATTCCTCAAAGTTTAGGTTTTTGAGGGCCGTACTGGTTTACAGTAAAACTGGGGGTTAAAGGTCTTGTCTAGGGGCCCAATGGTGACATCACTCTGCTGATCCTGGGATTTGAACCAGCAACCTTCTGACCCATTGAGTTGCATCCCAACCCTCAGTACCTCAGTAAATCAGTAGCTGTATACTCCTGTTTGGTGTGAATTGCCTATATGTGAAAGGTTACAACACAAACCTGTAGAACTGCAACTTGTAAAGCTAGTAATGACCTGCTCCCAGGCCTAAACCCAAAAAACACCACAACGCCAGTGGAGAGGAAACCAGACAGAAGAAACCGCAGGACAGCTGTTTGGGGCTCACAGTCACATATGACTGTCTCTCTGGCACAAATAGTAGCGAGTTGATGTCTGTGTAGGTTCTCAGTCATCCAGGACATGATACTCTTAAGGGCTTGAATCGAAGGCTGCTGGATTTCTTTTTAAATTTCTTGAAGACATTTCACCCCTCATCCGAAAAGGCTTCTTCAGTTCTAAAATTCTTATGGGGAGTTCCAGGTATTTATGCTCTAGTGGGGGTGTCACCTTGAAAGCCGTCGTCGACACACCATAGCGATTCGACGTATCGTAAGTTACAGTCGCTGCACCCAACCTCATAGTGGAGTCTCTCCGGGAAAGAACGTCAACCTGGTGGATGAGGATGTTCTGGGAGGCCGTCCACGTCCGCGGCGGGAGGAAGATGACCAGACAGATCCCAAGTCAGACCCCATTTCAGGCCCCAAGTCAGACCCCATGTCAGACTCCAAGTCAGACCCCAAGTCAGACCCCATTTCAGACCCCAAGTCAGACCCCAAGTCAGACCCCATTTCAGACCCCAAGTCAGACCCCCACTCTTGAATGTGTGTGTATGTATTTAAAGCTTAATTCCTTCATTTCTGTAAAACACTGTTTTATAATTAAGAATCACGCAGGCCATTGCCCGTAAAGCCGCTTCCTCCCATTTTCCGGCCCCATAGACGACCTCTTTGTGATGGCAGGTCAGTCCGAGGCTCTTGTTTGCGTGACTTAAAGCCCAGCCTTTGCCTCTCTGCCTTCCTACAGACATATTTCTGCTGATTCCGAGATAAAAGCCAAAAGAGTCGCATGAGGATCATTTAAATATTTACACACGGCCTGACTGGCGAGGGATTAAAAGCTCGGCACGCAGCCGTTAATGGCCGACTTTCGCTTACCCTGTAAGGGCCTGAGGGGGGTGTCGCAAAGCTGGGCCTCTCCCTGGGATTCATTAGGAATTTGATAGCCTATCTGTTTGAAGAGCAGATCAACATCAAGGCCGGTTGTCAATGCTGAAGTTAACACCATAGTAATGAATGTCTGCACACTCTTGTCACAGCGCCTTGGGGTGACTGTGTTATGAAAGGCACTATAAAAATATAAATTGAAACTTCAACAAACACCATTTGCAGGAAATATGGATAGCTGACCTCCCCCGAGCAGGCGGGGCACCGGCTCGAGGCCCAACATGTTACTGGAGCCGTACATACACGAGGCAGGCAGTTCACGTGGAGACACACCCCGGGGTATTTCCTCACACGCCAACGTGTGCTCTCTCCCCCCACGAATGCACCCGCAGGCACGCCCTGCCACAGTCTGCGTGCAGACGCCAAGGCCACGCACCAACACGCACGTATTTGTGTCTGTGCATGCCTCTCCCCTCGCCCATGCGTGAGCAAGGGCTGTGTTTACGTCCGCATATGTGAGGAGGCTAGTGCCACATTTCCGGAAAGATGACATTCCCCTGGGAGGTTTCCGAAAAAGCGCCGGGGACGAGGTGGATCAGGGGTAAAAGCAGGCAAGGCGAGGTAAAGCCAGGCAGTGCTGGCAGGTCTCGGGGTGAAGCCTGGCACTGCTGGCAGGTCTCGGGGTGAAGCCAGGCACTGCTGGCAGGTCTCGGGGTGAAGCCAGGAAGTGTTGGCAGGTCGCGCCTCAGGTCACTCCGGCCACGTCCGGCCATGAATTATTCAGCACGTCCGCAGCGAGATTTAATTAGGCAGGCGGGGCCTCCAGGGAGCCATCTGGAGGCTCTTGCCTGAACATACCTCCACCCTGACTCCAGATCAGATGAATTAGCAGTACCACAGGGGCTAAAACTCAGCCTGGGAGGATGGACAGCTGATGGCAGATCAGGGTGCTGGGCGGCCCGTTTCAGGCGCCCATCTGGGGGAGCTGCGGCTGGGATGCGTGACGCCTGCCTTCCCGGGCAGCGCGGCTGGGGCTACACGTCGCACACCGGCTCCACACGCATCCCGCTCTGCATCTCTTCATGTCCATCCCTCTCTTCCTCTTTCTTTCTTTTCAGCCTCTCTCTCTCTTTCATTCTCCCTCTTTTTTTCAGTCCCCTCCCCCATTTCCTCCTCGGTCTCATTTCTCTCTCTCTCGCTCTCTCCGCACCGTGTGGAAGGTCACATGGTTTCCGTGAAGCTGAGCTCCATAAACCATTGGGGGGATGGGGGTTAGGGGTTTACTCTGCATTTGTTTTCAAAAACCAGCAAGTCCACCGATTGGCTGCCGTGGCACTGGGTGACATTCCTGTGCACGGCTCTGAAATACATTTAATCTCCCATAGAAAAAGGCACTTTAAAATTAAATATAGAATAAGAAGGGAAGACGCAGCTCGTCACACACGTTGCCGAGGCACTGGGGGGTACAGAGGTAATCTGTGCCAGGGTGGAGACGGTGCTGCGGGGGGGCCTGGGAGCCCAATCCTTGGGAGGAGAGGTGCAGAACCCCAGCCGGTCAGCGCCCCCTCCCCCCCCCAACACACATACATACACATTCATTATGTCGTCCCATAAACACAGATGAACATCAGTGAGGAAGGTGGGGGGCCGACTGTCGGGGGGGGGGGGGGAGTCTTGGCCCATCTCCCAAGGTCACTAAGCCTGAAAACCGGGACGGGGGAGGAGGGTCTGAACCAATCACTAGGTCTGAGGTTCTGCCTAAAAATGTAGATCGCTCTGGCTAAGGGCATCTGCCAAGTGCTGTGAACGTAAATGCCGGAGTAGAAATGTCCTCTGTGCTTCGCCCCTGAGCACCGCGGCTCTGCGGCAGGACCACAGGCAGCGGCCGAGGAGGCACCCAGCCATGCAGAGCGCCGTGTCAGGTGAGCACGAGCGGGAAGCTCACCTGTGTGCTGACAAGCTGTTACTGGAAGCCGTCAAGCGTTGCGGACTGGAACAGAAACAGGAAGTGGCCGCTTCCCTTCTCAGGCAGCTGGTGGATATTACGCATTGCCAGATCACCGCAGCCACCGCCCCGCACTCCCCCCCAACCCCTACCACCACCACCACACCACCACCCGCCAGTACCCACCAGGGTTTAATGCCGCAATACCCAAACCCCCTACTGGGCGTGTGCAGTGGGTGCTGAATCAGCCCAGCTGTAATACCATAATGGCTCACCTGCATTGCTCTCACCGCTATGTCTCATGCATTAACTAATAAAGAATGCGTGTTAGCCAGAGACGCCGCGTGACTCAGCCCTAAACTAACCCCAGTCAAACCCTAAGCAGGATCAGCGTAAGATTACAACGCAGAGGCAAAAATGTTCTTTATCTCTATTAATCAATAAAGCAAGGCTTCATTCCATCACTTAATAAGCCTGATATGTTTGGGTTTATTCCTAGATTGAGACAAGAATGGATGTTTATAGAACCTTCTGAACCGTTTGTGTGATCACCCTCAAAGATTCACCCGGAACCCAAAGAGGCGTCTGCTAGCCTGGATCTCTGTGTCGTTCTTTGAGACGAACTCTTGCCATCCTGACACTGAATCTTTTTATAAAGATTTTTACCAGAATCACATGAAAAAAAACTTTTATTGGATGCGAAGGAGGACAACAGACACCCAAGTCAGCCTTAGCAGTAAAGGTCAGGGTGTGTTTGTGTGTATGCATGTGTGTGTATGCGTGTGTGCATGTGTGTGTGTGTGTGTGTGTGTGTGTGTGTGTGTGCGTGCGTGTGTGTGTGCATGTGTGTGTGCATGTGTGTGTGAGAACCAATCTCATCTGGGCCTGGGTGCAGGCGAATCCACCCTGGGAGACACACCTACTGAAAGCGCTCGCAATCACTGCGCCTGTGTACCGCGTCTGCACACCGCGTCTGCACACCGCGTCTGCGTGCACCTGGCTGTTGACGGGAAGCGCTGAGGGGAAGCTCACGCGATTTGAATTCCTTTGTACTGTTCCTGGTAACTGTGGCAATGGGGGCCTCACCTGTCGGCCGTTTCTGCCGGGGTGTGGTCCGACCCCTCTGGGAGGGCAGACTGTCGATTAACAGAAGGGAGACGCGCCTTTGGATGTGCGATGGCTTTATAGCACATCAGGAGGTCCTCGTGTGAGATGCCAACCCCCTCCCCTCTCCCCCCCCTCCCCACTCGCTGAGTCTCATGAAAGGCAGGTTTGGACAGCCCCGGCCAGCCTTAGAAGTACCAATCTGCATATTCTGAGCGAGAGTTACAGAAAAAACACGACCCGACATTTGCTGGGACCCATGCCGATTTTTAAATATGATTCATATGCAGATAGCGTGCTGGAAGGTGAGAGGGATCACACTCTGTGTGTCAGTCTCTGATGACAGTTCTACGCTTTCGGGCCAGATGTGATATTTGGTGACAGCCCCTGCAGCGAGGCCGTCTGCCAGCTGGTCCTGTCCCCAGCGGGCTCTGTGCTGTTTTGAAAAATGACCCGGTCGCTGTGGCATACCACAGGTACTGCGAGCTTCCGGCCCGTAACACACGTAGCCAGGCTTTATCTTCTGCTTCCAGTAATTCAGCAGGACACGTACGTAGCCGGGACCTTGTGCCACACTGGACTCACTTAACATCTGCTAGCCCCCCCCCCCGCCTGCACACTTGGCGTCTTCTTAGTTTATCTGCAGCCTGGTGAAATAAAACCGTATCAGAGGGAGATGGAAAGATGCAGGCAGGTTACAGGAGTTCAGAGTGTGAAGGTGTTTCTGCTGTGTTTGCCATTCTGATCATACCTTGATGTCACTTCATCCTTTGAGTAGCACTGAGCAGCATCTGTCACATCATACGCAGAGCTGGGGCTGCCGTCTCTGGCTCGACAGGTTCGGACCCTGTGCTTGTGATCGGAAGGTTGTCGGGTTAAATCCTGGAGTGATTTATTTTTTCGCCCCTGAGCAAGACCCTTAACTTCCACTCTCTCCAGAGACGGTCCGATCCTGCTTTCTCAGTTATACGTTGCTTTGGATAGAAGTGAAATGTAATCCCCCCGAAATCATCTCACAGTTCAGGCTAAATAATCACAGGGTATCAGACCCAGGGGGGGGGGTGTAGCAGATGAATAATAGCCTTGGACATAGGGAGGGGTTTCATATCCTCGTGGATACACACACATACACACACACACACACACTTTCACACACATTCTACGTGGTTCATTTGCAATGCTGCTGTGACATGAAACTCAAACATAACGCTTTGGAGCAATCACGTGGGGGGGGGGAGTCAAGGAGCTGGATGCACATGACAGAAATGATTAATTTCTGGGACGAGATCTCAGCCCCAGGAGAGCGGCGTGTTCCAGGCGCATGCGAGAGAACCGCCGTTACCTCTGGCTATAAATAGCTGTGTCTGGGAGCAGAACGACAAAGCCGACCAGGCTGAGTTTCACGCGCCAAACAAAATCCATAATTGAAATGCCAGTAAAGATATAGAAAGGGATCAGCAAGTCAATGGACTGTGCAGGGCTGCCTAATATGGCCGACGAGCATAGCGTTCCTGGAAGCCATGTCATGCAAATGAATTTATGGAGAATTTCCCTGCTGAAGCAGGGAGTCACTAGCGTGCTCGATTGGCGCTGTGACGGGCAGAAGGACTCGGCCAGTAAGAGCCCAGAGAGGTGGGACGGTACCATCTGGGGACCGCGAGGCCTGGGCTCCGCCCCTCACGGGAATGCGTGGAACACAGAGCTCGAACCCGGAGCCTCCAGCCGGGCCCAGGCAGTGTCATGCTGTGGGGACCCCAGGGGCCAGATCCTGTCTCTTTTGTCAGCCTCTAATCACTGTTTGCTCCTGTATTCGATTTTTCCTCTGAATCATAGAGCATGGGGGGTGGGGGGTTATCTGACACACCGTGATTGGCTGCGCTCAGTGCTGCTCCTAGCCGTGTGGCCCCCAGGACAAGCTTCAGTATCGACACCCCCTCCCCCATAAGCTTCCGCACCTGCATTCCACCCCCCCAACCCCACAAGCTTCAGCACTGGTGCCCCCCCTCCTCCCCGTTTCATTGCATCTTGATTGTAAAGCGGATCTCTTGATTGAAGATTGACTTCTGTCCAATTAGGCCCAGTACCGATACACACCTATCTACAAAATTTGCCGATTCTGGGGGGGGGGTTTGTATTCCATGGGAAAGTGCCAGATGGCCAGTCCAGGCCTTCTTGCATGGTGTGCTGTAGATGCCCCTTGCACTGGTGGTGGGGGGGTTGTTATCTAATGGGTGGACTGGTTCTGGCTGTAATGGCCTTTTTTTCAGGGTCCGCATCTACATTCGGCTACAGCCTGCTCTCCCCGTTCCCGGGTGAGTCTCACACAATGCATCCAAAAGTTAATCCTCCTATTGTGTAGCTATGATGACTCTTTGCCCCCCTTCACCCTGAGTCCCAGAGTCCATCGTTATGGTGTCATGTCCAGTACCGGAGACATACGTGGGTGTTTCCATGTCTCCTGAGCTCGATCTGGTTATTTCTCAGTGCTGGGGAAGGCAGAGAAGTCACAGTTGTTTTTTAACTCAAATTTCCTTTCTTCGGCCGTATTTCTTCATCTCGAGAGCGAAAGCTCAGCCTTTGTTTCTCGCTCTGACTGTTTCCTTCGCACTCAGATAGATTTTGCCACCTGGAAGCAGATGAAACGCAACTCTGTAGGCACAGAACCGTGGTAAAGGTCGAGGACGTGGGGCAGAAATGAAAGTATTTCGTCCGTCCTACACAAATCAATATTAAATATAATTTGGTCATCGTGTCTTTATAAGACGTAAATGATGGTTCTGTTTTTCACATTTTATTTATCTTTTTTTTTTTGTTACTACTACCGTACACCTGCTAGCTTATGAAGGCTCCCTGGAGTCATAATGGCCTTCACTGGCGTCGGGACTTGCAGGACGGCCTTCAGCTGGTGGCCTTCACTGGCGTCGGGACTTGCAGGACGGCCTTCAGCTGGTGGCCTTCACTGGCGTCGGGACTTGCAGGACGGCCTTCAGGCTGCTCCAAAGCAAGTCAACGTTGTGTCCTGAGAGCAGAAGCGGATTCCTGCATGCATTGCTCCTCCTGCATGCATTGCTCCTCCTGCATGCATTGCTCCTCCTGCATGCATTGCTCCCAGCTCCTCGTGCATCAGGTCCTCGCCTGCGAATTCCAGCCATTTCCTCTCTGACTCAGCCGTAATGAGGATATCATCTGACAAACAGCACACGTGCTGCACAGCTTGGGAGTCTGACCCATTGCAGTCCTGCTTTATCCCTTGTGATGGTATAGCGCCTTGCACATGTTAACTAATGTGATAATTTAATGTGATTGAATGTGACTTTGACTGCTAACAGACCGGAGACTGGACTGCACATCTTACGCTGGTATAAGATACCAGTGGGTAATGTGTGATTCTCCTCCTTCCCTCTCATGCTAATTGTAACTTTATAACCTCCAGTGATTCTCAGGCACCTTTCTGCTTTCAGGATTACCGCCCCTGGGGGTTGCCCTCTGGCCGGAAGCCGTTTGTTCTTCCGGGACCTTCTGCCAGACTTGGGGTTTGCATCCTTCTTTTGCGGTTCGCTGTTCTCATTCTGTCCTGAAACGGCGCACGGCTGCCGCGCTTCATGAGTGCAGGATCAGGCTCACTTCACGCCCGCGCTTTTAATTTGCCCGGTAACTCGATTTGGTTCTCTTGAGGACGCTCTTAAATTAAGACGTGATTCCGAAGCTCTCGGGTGCTGATGGATCGGCTGCAGTTTGCACAGCAGTAGTTTTGCAGCTTCACACCTCAGCACCTGCGGATCTGACTCCTTCCCCCGGCTTGGTGGCTGTGCAGTTTGCACATTCGGCCCTCGCGCTGCAGGTCTCACCCAGGTCCTCCGACTCCGACTTCCGTAGGAGTGCCTGAGGGAGCCGCCTCACTGATGCAGGCTGGGGGGGGGCTCAGCTTTACCTTGGCTGCCACGTGGCAATTAACCCGCTTCTGCATTTCCATTTGCAGCCCTACCAACCGGACCTGCCTGCTTCACGCCCTCGGGTCTCCCAAACTCAGTACTTCTGTCATGAGTCAGATATTTTGCTGCCCACCCACCCCTGTACTTTTCCACACCCGAATGCATAATGTGATAAATCGGTTTGGTGGCTGCATGCTGCTGCACTGATGTCGCCAGTCTCCATCCTGCACATCCCAGGTTTCTCCATGATACTGGCCGCCAGTCTCCATCCTGCACATCCCAGGTTTCTCCATGATAATGGCTGCCAGTCTCCATCCTGCACATCCCAGGTTTCTCCATGATACTGGCCGCCAGTTTCCATCCTGCACATCCCAGGTTTATCCATGATAATGGCTGCCAGTCTCCATCCTGCACATCCCAGGTTTCTCCATGATAATGGCCACCAGTCTCCATCCTGCACATCCCAGGTTTCTCCATGATAACATGACATTAAGGCTTCTTTAGTTGACTGGGGCTGCAAATCATTTCATGGAGACAGAGCTCTTCTCATCACACGTGTCACTGCAGAAGCAGTTTAACTTCATTTACATTACAAATTTTTTTCACAAAAGCTTTTATCCAAAGCAACACACATTTGAGAAAGATGGGTCAGACAGTCCCTAGTTACAGACCGAACGATGACATCACTCAGCCAACTGGGAGTTGAACCAGTGACATTTCAATCACTGGTATAGCATCGAAACCTGCTGAATTACACCCGGCAGTTTCTTTAGAAGCTTGTTAAATCGAAATGTTCCACTCAGTGCTTAGAGCAGGTACACAACCAGCTTTTTACCCACAAAGCCAGAGCAAAGGCTTGTCTCTGCTGGACAAAGCTGTTTCTCTCTGTGTCTCTTCCTGTTCCTGAGTGTTCAGACTGGCTCTACGAGAGGAAAATCCCGATGGATAACCGAACACAGTTCTAAATAGCATCTTGTTTAGCGTCGTTCCCCTGGACCCTCATTATGAGGAAGATGAGATAAAATAAGATAAGAAAAGATAGGACAGGACGGGACGGGATGGGATTGGGGTAATTTACTTGTTATAACAGTCTATAGATTAAAAAGCTCAAATACACATACAGATATTGCACCAAGTGATAAATATATGTGACATATATATGTCCTGTACACAGTGAACAGGACAATCGTGTCATTTGTGACCTTTAGGTCACTGAGGTGTTATAAAGTCCGATGGCTGATGGAATGAAGGACCTGCAGAAGCATTTCTTCTTGCATGATGGATGAAGCAGTCTGCTGCAGAAGGAGCTTCGTAAAAGAGCCTCACTGTCTCGTGCACCTCCGTCACCTAAACCATAAGCTCCTCATCTGAAGTCTGGGATTCGGATCTATAATTACCTTTGACATCCAGGTAGGTGAGAGGGCCAGGCTCATCGCGCATCCGCATCCAGCTGCATGGATCAGGTAGAGATGGGGTTATGGAAAACACAACAGAAATGTCAAAGTGGATCTTCCACATGAGAGGAGAAAGGCAGAACACACTGATGAACTTTCAGTTTGTATCCCACAATCCTCTTTGCTTCTGGGTCCTTCCTACCAAGAACTGTATATAGCTGCCAGGATTTGAATTCCTTAATCATGACAGATAAGCCCTTCTAAGAAGTGGGGTTTGCATGCCATGATAAAAATAACGTTTCGGCTGAGCACACAGATCGCTTTGGTTAGTTGGTCTATTGAAGTTCATCTCTATCTCTCACCCGCTGGCCACGGTCCCCCCCAAGACCTGGAGGTGCAGTTTATTCGAGGGAGGTGGCTTTTCTGAAGGACCTCTGGCTGCTTCCTGGAAAGCAATCTTGATTTATCAGAACTGGTGCAGTTATGTGGTTTGTAATGGGGCCACCGGCAAGCATTTCCAGGAACTTGAGGGCCTTTGTTTTGGCAGAACTTACTCCAGTCTAAATTTATGACAGAGACGGTAGGGTGGGGTGGTGCCTTGTGGTGTGGGGGGATTGATGACGGTGTGGAGAAAGCACTTACATGATTCGAGTGTCATTGAACAGCATCAAGATCAAGGTGGTAAACACATTAAACAACCAGTAGGCTCCAGAATGTAAGCATCTGCATTTGTGTATGCCTTCCCAGCGTCAACCAACCAGTTGAGTACTCTGTGACTGTGACTCTTTATACCCAACTGGTTGGGTGGAACAAAACCTTGGCCTGGATTTGTACTTTCTGGACCTGAACTTTCCACCTCTAGCCGGTGTTTTTAACCACCCAAATTACTTCCCTTTTTCTGGAAAGCTTTGGCTCACATGCTAGATTCTTACCCGTCTGATGTAGCACCTGCAGAAGGTCCCATCCTGCAAAAGCCAAACCAGTAACTCCCAGTTCATTTTGGGTTTATACACTTGTGCACAGATCAGTCTTGACACCAAAGCTTCAGGTCAGTCCCTTGACTGGTCAGCACTGAGATCACTGTTGATAAAGGATTGGGGGGGAAAAAAAGAAAGAAGAAGGAAGAACAAGGAACTGAGACAACAACCTAATTCAATAAAATAAGTCCCTAAAAGGAAAGAGCATCATAGCTGTGAAAAAGGCAAACATGCTGAAACCTGGTTAAAGGGAACTGTAATACACTGTAATAAGCGAAACAAATCAAACACAGACATAACGTGTTAGTAAGTGGATGTTGGGCCACCTCGAGCGTCCAGAACAGTTTCAACATCCCTTGACAAACAGTCTACAAACGCCTGGACCTCTGTTGTGAGATGTGACCTCAATCCTTTTGCTCGCTCAGCCCCTGGGCCGAGCGGGTCGGGTCGTGGTGATAGTGGAGTCAATTCCCATTTGGACAGTAATGCTTCAGGACAGGATGAACTTGATGACTCAGAATAAAATTTGATATTTTTGGCATTTTCATTGACCTCTGGAAGCGTAACTGAGGCTTAACTATGCCAGAAAAATGCACCCCACCCCAAGAGAGCTGACTGAACCCTTTGCCCTAGGAAATCGGTACTGAAGTCTGCAAGCCCTGTTCGCCTTGGGCCACACACCCACTTTCCTAATAACAGAAATGACTCACGTGACCCAATGACATTTCCCTGCACCGTTCAGTACCATCATGTGCTCTTTGTACACTTCACCTGATTTTTCAGATGTGACCAGAAAGAGATGCAGACTCTTGGAACCTGATCTGTGGCTGAGCAGTCTACATTTTCGCCCACTTCTGGATACATATCAGAACGTTGAGTGGTCTTAATCTCTGAAGTTGGTGCCTATCATGCTCCAAGAATCACACCACTCTCAAATTACCAAGACCTCTTCTTGTCTAGATAACATAACTAACAACTGACTTATTCCATGGATTTTTATGTATAACCCTAATTACCTAGTAGATGTTAATTGTCTAATTAATTTAGGAACCATACTTGTATGTTACCACCCGCTCTCAGTGTGCTTAATAGCCAGCCAATCATTCTTCCAGCCCCTTATCTAGTACACAGTTGTGATTCCCACATATCCTCATTCGATTAATCATATCTTTTATTTTGCTAGTTGCCAGTACCTACGTCTCCACTCACGCTGCTTTCCTCTCAAGCCATCACTCATGCCCAGATTGTTATTCAGCCAGATCACTGTGACTCCAATCGATAGTGGTAGGAAATTCAACCAGTGTGTTTGCACTTTATCTGCTGGTGAACCTGTCATGTCTGTTTGAGTAGGATGCAGTCATGTGGTTTGGCTACACAGGTCTCCAGTGTTGCGTCTATAATGGTAACTGGTTACAGCCCTTAGATCAGCAGGATTTCTTTGGTGTTGAAGTACACGATCCACGCAGAATTAAATACGAGAGAGATGAGAGCGATATCCACACCCGCCTGCAAAGTGAGATGTTTTGACATTTGGTCAGTGAACTGAGTCTCTCCTGTGGATGGAAACTTCACGTCAACGAGAGGAAGACAACAACAACACAATCGACAGCCCCTTTCATGTTTGCTGCAAACTCGAGTTTCATCTGTGCTGAATGTCCGAGGCGGCCTGAGCCCATCTTACTGAGGCGTCACCCACATCATGACGAGCATGACTTTCAGGTTGATCTGGTGGATGGCAATAGGGAGTCTTCTGCTCACTAGAGAAGTTCCATTTCTTCTTAGCTAATAAGATGTTGATTTCAGAGTTTCTTAGAAGTGCTTTCAAAACTGCTGCCGGCTTCTCAGCAACTTTTCATGCCTAATTCCTATGAATTCTTATTGCTATGAATTCATAAATAGGAAGAATTATGACTCATTAATAAAGGTTTCCACTGTCGTCATTGATATTGTTCTTCAATCCATTTCCGCATCATCAGGTATGTAACTAAATAAATAAATGTGTATAAAGAACGCATCTACATAGAGGAAGAGACTGCATGCTTCGTCCTGAACTCAAATTCTTCAACAGTCATTCAGGTCTCTATGAGAAAGAAGATTTTAATTTAGATCGATTTATGGTAAAGATAAAGATATGGTATCTTGTCCGGTAAATCTGAGGTCACATAAACACGGAGTATCTTGTACTGTAAAGATGGCGTACCTTATATGGTAAATCTGAGGTTGGCTTTAGGGTAAAAATGAAGTAAAATACCTTGTGCAATAGTTTAGCAACAGTTAACCTCCTGGGACCTTTTGTTGATCAGTCCCACTTTGGGATTAAGAGACTAACCCCAGGCTGAATCTTTCTCTCCAGCCCGTAAGAGAACGCAAGCACCAGCTCATCCCTCTGATTAATATCCTCTCACGTTCCAGTAAGCATGAGAACCCCTCGATGCTCGCAGTACCCTGCCTTTCTAACAGATGACGGCCCTGACTGTACAGTTCCAAGAGTAGGAGAGATGAGTGAGGAAGATGGAGGATGTACATTGAAATGCCTCTGAGAGGTGTGTGTGTGTGTGTGTGTGTCTGTCTGTCTGTCTGTCTGTCTGTCTGTGTCTATGTATCTGTGTGTGCATGGGTGGGTGGGCTTGTATTTACCACATTGTGGGGACCAAATGTACCCACAACGTGGTAAAATCTGTTACTTTTCAGCTTGTGGCAACATTTTCCAGGTCCCCATAATATGAACCTCAATTTTATATTAAAAAAATCAAAAACCTAAAAATGCCAAAAGTCTCATGCTTTGTTTAGTTACTTATGGTTAAGGTTAGGGCTGGGTAGGGGTTAAGGCTGTCATTGTCGAGATTAGGGCCATGCTCATAGAAATGAGAGCCCCACAGTGATATAGATACCAAATCTGTATGTGTGTGGGTGTTTTAATCTTAAATTTTAGGAAATACTTGATAATGCTTGACAGTACAGGATGATTGCGTCAAAACTCCCTACTCCCCCCCAGCTATTGCTCATGTGAGAGTACTTCCTGTTGGCCCGCACAACAAAAGTGTCTGAGAGGTACTTCCTCATTCATCTGGAAAGAACAATGAGCAGTCTGCTGTCCCCGCCCCCCCACCCCCGCTCTGATAGACCTTTCAGTATTTCATAAAACGGCCTCTTGGATTGAATGAAGCAGACTGTAGGTGTTCTGCATCACAGTGATGTGCAGAATCTCAGTGTTCACTCTCACTTTCACATCACCTGACAGGGAAGTTTACGTAGGTAGCACTCCGCTGTTCGATCCATCCACTTGTAAGCTGGTTTGGACAGAATTCCTGTGTATTCTGAGTGGGGTGTGTTCACATGCTCTGCTTCTTTTGAGGCCAAGATCTGGTCATGGCTTACCTTCTTCCTTGATATGGTGTCCTTCAGTCGGGTGGAGCCGTTCCACGCCAAATGCACTGAAAGTGACAATGCTTGCCCTGCTACCCTGTGCCACCAGAAGATAAACATCTCCACCTTGCTTGCACCACCCTCCAGCACAGCGGAGATTTACCGCATGTGACAAGCAGTTTCTGGATATTTCACCATAGAAACGTCTCCAGGTGCCAGTCCAGTCTGCATAAAGCCACAAAAGTACCAGCAGAGACTCCGGAAACCATTGGCTCAACAGGTCCAAACTGGCCATGGAATTCGGCTCAAAGGCTCTGGGCAGAATTTCAAAGCAGAGCCTGTAAAGCCAGTTCCCACGCTGGCAGGGTTTTAGCTAAAGAAGGGGCACCATTAGAGATTTGGGGCCCTGAGAATGCATATCAAACTGGGCCCCCAACCAAAACCAATACAGTTATGCTCCAAATGTTTTAGGGCCCCTGTCACACAAGGACCTTGGGTATCGCCCTAATCCCCCCCCCGGGTAAAAGGTCAACATCAAAATACAGACACTTGTGCCTCAGAGACAGACGCACAAGCTGAACCGCGTCCATTTGTGTAAACAAGCTTAACTTACTTTGAATAATTGTGCCTCCTATTCAGGTAAGGAATCGTAATCTATGTGCTAAATCGATGAGTTAATAAGGCTGACAGCAAAAGTATTATGAACGAATCAGTAATGCCACAGACATGAGAAAGGGGATTCTGGCTTTGTGCCGGTCCAGTCAGATGGTCCACCGGTGGTCAGGTTCAGTCAGATGGTCTACTGGCGGTCCGGTCCAGTCAGACGGTCCACTGGCAGTCTGGTCCAGTCAGACGGTCCACTGGCAGTCTGGTCCAGCCAGACGGTCCACTGGCAGTCTGGTCCAGTCAGACGGTCCACTGGCAGTCTGGTCCAGTCAGACCACTGGCGGTTTCCAACAGCAGCCTCTGAGACCGCGTCTGTTGGGTCTGGCATAGTAACAAATCGTGACCGCATCCCCTTTTCACACGTGCATGCCTCTCGTGCTCATGCACGTGCACAGGGCCCCCTAAAGTCCCTCGTTTTCACTGTAGGTCCCACAAGGGTGTGTCCTGCAGGGCCCAGCTACACCCAGTACAACTCGCATGCCGGAGCTCCATCTGGTAGCTTTGTGACTCATTGCTCCAGCCCCAGGCGGCTCCCCTCCCACCACCACTGTCGGAGCTGCACCCCCCCCCCCACCCTGTCCTGAGCTGAACTTCCTTGCAGCAGTAAATGAGGTCTCGAGGATTCAGGCTTTCCATGTGAGACACGTTTGGCTGACACGCCTTTACAGTAGAGTGTAGGCTGGTGGCGGCGAGAGAGAGCGAGGGAGAGAGAGAGAGAGAAAGAGAGAGAGAAAGAGAGAGAGAATCCACCTGAAGTGAGGATGCCAGGCCAGATGGCTTCTTTATTGTCAGCTTGTGGGAGGTGCAAGCTGTGCTGGTCAAGCCATAAGGCGACCGCCTAGGGTGCCATCTCCTGAGTGGGGCTAGCACCATCCCCCCCCACCCCGATCCCGGTCACCCAGGGCTCCACA